GGAAAACCAAAAAAAAAAAAAAAAAATCCAGTGCTGTGCAGTACAAATAACTGATAGCAAATCATTATTTTCTTTCTTTATAAACCAAGGAGGTTATTATACAGGGCTCAATGCCAAGGATTTTTTTTACAGGCCCAAAAAGTATTTTAATAAACAAGGTTGTTATGACACCAAAATTTTAAATTCCAATAAAGTTTCACAATTTGCAATATAACGTCACACTCTGCTTTTTTATAAACATAATTCACCATATAATACAGCCAAAAATTTAAAATGACCAATAAACTCCACCTTAAAGGGTTAGTTCACCCAAAAATGAAAATTCTGTCATTAATTACTCACCTTCATGTTGTTTCAAACCCATAAGACCTTCGTTCATCTTTGGAACACAAATGAAGATATTTTTGATGGAATCTGAGAGCTGTCTGACCCTGCATAGACAGCAATACAACTGAAATGTTCCCAAGTCCAGAGACGTAGCAAGGAGATCTGTAAAATAATCCATGTGACATCAAGGGTTCAACCATAATTTTACGAAGCTACGAGAATACTTTTTGTAGGGTGCAGGGTCAGACAGCTCTCAGATTCCATCAAAAATATCTTAATTTGTGTTCCGAAGATGAACGAAGGTCTTACGGGTTTGAAACGACACGAGGGTGAGTAATTAATGACAGAATTTTAATTTTTGGGTGAACTAACCCCTTAACACACAAAATAGTTTGCCAGTCATGACACAGTGGACTTACAATGAAAATAAGTAAAATCAAGACAGCACATGCATTGCATGGCATACAAAAAAAAAAAAGAAAATAAAACAAACAAATAAAATCATATAAAATAAAAAAATAAAAAATATGAGATTGAGAAAAAACTGAAATAATTAACAACTTCTGAAACTCACTTTAAAGACATTAAAGACATCCTGATGCTCCATATAGAGTACTGAACATAATACTGAACGTAACACTACACTTTCTGTCATTAACATATATAACAGAGAGAGCCATGTCAAAAAAAAAAAAAAAAGATATATATATATATAGTGTTGGCAAACACAACACAAGACAAAAAAAAGTGAACTATAATCAATAAAAGCATGACAACATTTGAGGCAATGTTGCATACTCAAACCAAAATTACAATTTGTTGGGTTTATATTGCCCACTTGTGGTCAATCTGGGGGATTTGAAAAATGGTAAAGACCACCACCATGGACACTGCAATCTTCAGTTTTCCGTCCGCTTAAAACCTGAGAACATCTTGGAGCACATATCTCTCTCTTTGTCCAAATAGTCCATGTAGCAGCTGTAAAAGATCAGCAGATTTGTTCAGCTTTCACATTCACACATGTACTGTAGGAAAACTTGACAAAACTATCAGATCAGGAAAACTTACAGAGCAAGCTTTTTCAGCAAGGTGTTAATGTCAGGGTCAAATGGCTTTTTCGCCTGAGCAAGTGTAAGGTAATCTTGTGCCTTCTCATAGTCGCTCATCTCCAAACAGGCCTCGTTAAAAAAAACAAAATCAGATCAGTCATTCCATAAAGTCTTCCTCTTTAATAGCAAATTGAACACAAATGACTGGAAGTTTCTTCAGGAAGCTAAATAGCTCTTTATAAGGGCTGTTAATTTAACCTGTTAATGTGCTAAAACTAACTTAGTGTGATCACTAAAAAACACACACTATTAGTACTTTTTCAGTACAAATTATACAAACGTAATTGATTAAAATATAAATCTTTATGAATCTGAAGTAAATTTAATAATATGGAATTGTCCCGTCAGCACAGCAATTCAATCGTGATGTACTACCTTTGTTTTTGAAAGTCCAATCTGGCCTCAAATGAACAGACAGTAAAAAAATGAACAAGGTGCCTTTCACACGAAACAAGCCCAAGTGCTCAAAATCAGCTAATCAGAGCACAACAGAATGGAACAGCTGTCTTAAAAACATTGCGCTCATTGCTTGAGACACAGAAAAATAGCAACAGAGTGGCCAAAGACGTTAATCTAAACGTACATTTTTTTTAAACATGCTCAACAAAAAAATGCTCGTGTGTGCAAACTGCAAATAAAAATGACTAAATGTCACCTAACCTGGCCGCAGCGGAAGAGCGCTTTAGTGTTCTGAGGGTTGATGTCCAGTGCTTTCTGACCGTAGCAAAGGGCCTTCTGGGGTTTCTCCAGTTTGAGGTACGTGAGTGAGAGGTTGAGCAGGAAAGGCAATTTCATTTCCTCAAGACGCTGCTTCTCTTCATCATCCACCAGCTCACGATTCTGCAAAAGTGTCATGGCCTATACCATGGACCAAGAGTTGTGTTACACGAATGTTACATCACAGTCAATTATTAGGATAAACTACAAGGTTTCACGACACATTTTCCTTCTATCCATTTACATACTCCCATATGTGAGAAACTAATAAGCACAGAACCTGCTTGTATCTCTCTCGAGCATCTTCATAGCGCTTCTTATTGAAGCAGAGGTTGCCAAAGCTCCGCTGAGTGTCCAGTACATTCAGAAATGTGGTCAGAGAAACATTGGGTACGTGAGTGAGAGGTTGAGCAGGAAAGGCAATTTCATTTCCTCAAGATGCTGCTTCTCTTCATCATCCACCAGCTCACGATTCTGCAAAAGAGTCATGGCCTATACCATGGACCAAGAGTTGTGTTACACGAATGTTACATCACAGTCAATTATTAGGATAAACTACAAGGTTTCACGACACATTTTCCTTCTATCCATTTACATACTCCCATATGTGAGAAACTAATAAGCACAGAACCTGCTTGTATCTCTCTCGAGCATCTTCATAGCGCTTCTTATTGAAGCAAAAAATCTCAACCCCAAACTTTTGAACAGTAGTGTGTGTGTATTCTAAGAATAATTTATTTATGCACTATTTGACTATCATAAGAGAGAAGCTAGAACTCAACGAAACCATGTTAAATTGAGTCATTTACTTGATACAGATGCATGCTTGGGTACGGGTGGACCTTCCCCTGCATGGACCACCTCTTTGAGAATTCCTCCATCCCCTAATATGTCTTGCATTTGCCAAGCCAGACGCTGGAATGGAGTCTAAGACAAAAAATATATAAAAAATATTATTAATTCATGCTAAAGCTAATTTATTTGAGCTGAAAAACAATTTTTACACTTTATATAACAGTTCATATAAGATAAACTGCCATGTTTTGCAAAAAGTGACTGAACATGAAACCCCCCTAACAAACATTTACACTGTAATACTATTACATTTCACTTAACATGAACCCCCACTGCCAAATAAACACCAAGAGGTACAACAGTAACATTGAGAGTCATTCTTGAGAAGTGGGACAAAACAGGGTGCAAAATTGAAAAAATAAAACCTTGTACTCAGACAAATGAAACTACATTTATGTATCTTATATGTACTAAGCTACTGAGCTATGCTTTGATACAACCTCCCAACTTTTCTCTTTTTTAACAAAATGTTTTTTTTTACCTTGGACTGTGTAATATAATTTCAGCTTTATCTTTAACAGCATTCAAGATGTTTTTAACATTTCAAAACACATTCTCGTGTTAGCAGACAGATTACACTTTCACATGTGACCAACAATTCCACAACAAATATAAAATATCATAATGAAATATTATCAAAATATTCAACTGATAGAGGTGACAGAACTGACGGAGTTGACACATCTGACGGTGGTGACGAAAACCTGAATTTGTAGCAATTTTAACTATCAAATACATTGAATCAGTCAATTACTGTATTAAAACAAACACTACAAACAGTGAGTATGTTATTGTTTATAAAACTTTTATTCACGAGTCACATTTAAGTATTTTGATATATCATTGGAACACAAAATCTTATGATGGTGACATCTGACGGTGTTGACAAATTTGAAATTTCTTTCACAAAACCAGTGGAGTTCATGTAGTAGCCATTTTATTTTTTTCTGTTGATGCTAGATGCTAATGGAAACTGCTTCAGGAGAATAAAATTATCTAAATATTTCAAATAATTTCCTCAGAAATTGGAAGATGGTGTTGACATATCATGGCTGTGACACAGGAAATATTAACATTAGGATTTAAAATATTCTAAAACTATAAAACTTAGCAGAGCCTGTCTGACACTGATGTACTCTGCAGAGGTGAACTGTGGAAAGGGGGTCCTTTAGAGTGACCGCTGCCCCTGATATTCCCTGATTTTATTACATTTTATTGAATGTCTGACGGTGTTGACAAAAAGTGGGGACGCAACTTTAAAATCGTATGAAACATGCATGTGTCATTAAAAAACAACCTTGCTTTGATAGGAGATATTATTAAGTGTTGCTTTTGATAAAACAAGCTCTTTTTCATCATTAAAAAAACATTTTTATCCATTTTATTGCATATGAATGAAAAAAAAATTGACGATTTTTACAAAGCTCATTGGTCTGAAAAGCGAGGTGTGCTGTGATTGGCCAGCTATCCAGTGCGTGTGACGGAAATGTTACGCCCCTTACCATA